CGCCCCATGTGGGGGGGGGGGGGTGGGGGTGTGGTACAGGATTGCACCCCTCCCCCCCATACCCCAGATAGCCTCAGGGCAGATGCTTAATGGCCTGTGAGTCAGCAGGTCTGGGTGAAGCAACAAATTAACACCTGCTTTTTAACTTTCATTTACAGAATCGGTAAAGCATGCGGAGAACTTTACATCGATGAGCAGTACTTAGAAATGAGAAACATTTCCAACTGCTGGGAAAACTTTAATTTAAAACCAATTGTGAGACATTAAGGTCATCAACTCTAATGGTGGCTATAAAATGTAAATTGGCAGTGTAGCGACTCCCGGAGCATGTCAACCACTCTTACAGCTTGGCTTCTCACGCACCAGTGGACTGATCCCTCAGCATCCTCAGCCCTTCGGGCAGTCTGTGGAAAACCTGATTCTCTGAAAGCCCTACCCACCTGCAGGCATTCCCACAGATTCACTGCTTACATACCCTTGCCTGTGAGATTTTTTTGAATGGCTTGAGTAGTAGGAATATCCAGAATATGTGGATTCGGTATCCATAGCAATGGCGAGCTTCCTCTGACGATGATGCAGCCGGCGCTGTTTTCTCACGGGCAGTCTCACCTACTAGCTCCTAACGCCTTGTGGGTCTCAGAGATGCTAGTCTTCAATAGGACTCTGAGAAGGGGAGAGAAAGGAGAGATTAATTCTCAACGTCAAGGGCCAAAGCATAAACCATCAGTAGCCAACTCTCCTCTGAGGTCCCTACGGAACACGGGGTAAGTATAAAACTCAAACCTCCAAATGCGCCACTCACCAAGGAACAAGCTTCACAGATGTCTGAGAGGCAAGAGGGGTGCTGAGCATGCTGGACCCCATCACAACAGAAGGAAGAAGGTTTGGGGAAAACCCGGATGTTGAGACACATATTTCTCATGGCTTCGGCTGTAGGAACTGCTTCTCACAGCAGCCCCCAGACAAATGTCTACCCCACCCCCAACTGTCAGTTATAAAAGCAACACCCAGGGAAATCACTTACTCAGCACTTTGGCCATCACTTCCAAAAGTCAATTATAGTTTTCTCCTAGCCTCTTTGAGAATCCCAACTCCTAGAAATTTATCTTAGTAATTAAAAATCAACAACCACCACGATTGCCCTGCTGCCTATGATAATAAAAAAGCTAGAAGCAATGTAAATGCCTCCCCAAGCCAAGGAATGGGGGGGGGGAATATGATCCAGTCAGTCAAAGAAAACATCATGTATCTGCATAGAATGACAAAAATGACAAAAATGGAGATTTTAATAAGCGGGAAGTGGGATTGCAGGTAGCCTATGAATCTACACAACTGTTATAATGACGTAAAATAACTAATGGACGGGCAGGGACTGCTGCAAGGGGACATCAGAAAAGGTGATTTATTAGTTGCAAGGTCCTAGGTCCTTTCCCACTTCCCTCAAATATTGCTCTGCAATAAAAATAAATTGGAAACACTTCCAAGCACATTCCTGAGCCTCCACATGCTCGGCCTTCACTTCTAGAAAGTCGGGTCTAATGTTCTGCTTCTTACCATAACCCTCTCCCAGGCCTGGTCTAGGCCCAATAGGCTTTCCCACCCTGCAGGGTCTTAGAGGCTAAAACTGCAAACACAGCCAGTGAGATAAGTGTGAAGAAAACAAGAGTTGCAAAGGCCCTAACCTGTCCCAAAGCAGGAGGAGGTTCAAGCTCCCAGACCCCAGCAACAGCTAAGACTGGGAGAAATTTCAAACTGGGAGCATTACCTGGGCCTGGAAGTCACATCTGCCCACAGTTACACTGGCCCAGAGCCTAGAAGTGGCATTCTGATCCTTCCAGGACGGAAGGAGACGTTCTTTCTAAAGAGACCCTGTGCCTAGGGGTTACCTGCCTTGCCCTAGATGCCTCAGCTTGCGATTTCAAAGGAATTGATCTCAGAGTACTAATTCTTCAAGAAAAAAAATATTTCCCCACTGTCTAATGTGATTAAAAGCTAAAATGATGAAAATGTCCCCCAAACCAAGGGATAGGTAGGGAACATACGGTTCAGTTACCTCCAAATTAGCACAAATCTGTAGGATACCGTAATCATGTAGTCAAATCCCAAGGCCATTCCTTGCCCCTCTTCTCCATGTCTGGCTCACTGCACTGACTCATCCGTGTCACATCCATTTTAATAAGCAGGCAGGTGACCCTGCTCAGGAGTGGATGACAGAGAGCCTACTGCTTTCCCTGGCCCTGCTGGTGGCTGGTTTCCGATTGGGGAGACCTGGAGTCCAGCCCATGCTTAGCCACCTATGATGAGCCCCTTCCTTGCCTTCTTGAATCTCAATCTGCTCACTTGTCAATCAGGGATCAATGAAGCAGCCACCATCTCCCAGAGCGAAGCTATAAACAGACACAGACTTGACTCGCTTCCTAGCTGCAGGACCTCAGTCAAATGATGGAACCTCTTTGAAGTCCCATCTATAAAATGTGAGCATCAGGAGTGCTTTGATGACTATAAGAGCTGACAGTGGTGACAGTACTCAGCATGGGCACCAGATGCGCTGGCTAAGTAAAGGTGGGTGGCCCTAAGTGCTCCCTTCGGTAGTTTCTAAACTCCACCATTTCCTTGTCTTTCTCAGCAAGAGAAAAAGCATAGAAAGCAGCAGGGCAATTAGCCAGCACCTCCCTCTAGGCTATCCCACCCAAGGCTCTCCTGCTGTGGGCAGAATGGGGCTGCCCCTCTGGCTGCCTGCTCTCCGACCAGCTGTGTACTGGATGAACAAGGCAGTTTAACCTTGGAGCTGTGAGTTTCCTACCCAGTAAAAGGGAGTTAAGCAGCCTGCTTGGGAGGAAGGGGGGTGATTGTAAAGACTAAACATGAAACCAATCAGGCATCTCTCAAAACATTAGCTTGGCTCCTGGGCTGAAATGGTCCATCTTTTCTCCCTCTACTGTCTCCCAGGGTTTTCACCAGCCAGCCAATGAGCTTTTCAGCACTCTAGAGTCTCCTTTCCTTTCTGCTCTATGTTCCTTTCTCACTGGCCATCTGCCTGACAGACAAGCAACCTTCGGAGATACAGACAGGATGGGGAGCTTAGCATGAACCAATCCTCTTTCCTTGATAGCTGCTGGCCCAGCTCTGTTGATTTGCAGATTCCAAGGTTTGGCACCTTCACCAGAAAACTGTCCATTCTTCTCTAGATTCATAATTAACCACACTCATCCTGACACTAGATTCTTCTGCCTTCCAGCCTGAAACTCCTGACTCTCTGTTCTACCCTAACTTGTGATTTCTCACCAGCTATCGAGGGGCATGGCAGAGGAAGGTTTAGCCCCAAACCAGCACACTGCAACTTATTCTTTGTTTGCACTGCCTTGCTGAACACCTCAGGGCATGTGCTTCTGCTCTGTCCCACACCCAAGGCCCCAGTAAAATGACATCATTAATATTCCCTTCCCAAGGTTATTAGGAGGATTAATCAAGACTCCTGAGGTATAATCTCTAGCACACAGAACCCAAGTTCCCTTCCCCCTCTGCTGAGGGTCATCATTGTTTGTCCTCATTAAAATGCGGACCATCCATTAAGGCAACTCCAGGCAAGTCCCTCAAAGGAAATCACAGCTCCCAACAAGCCCTCTGGGGAAAAGCCTTTTCTTAACTCTACCAACTACCCTTGCCCAGGTTTTCTCCAAAGAGAGGAATCTTGTATGAGATGCGGCCCCTCACCCTCTAGATTGCCACTAAATCCCCCATTCTTCTCCCTCTACTGAAGAAACTCTAAGTTGGCCAGAGAATGCCTTGAGTCAAATCCAAAGGTCAAATCCTTGCCTTCTTTCTCCAGGCCCATCTTACCCTATTGATTTACCTTCATACTTTATGAGGAGCCACCAGACCCTGCTCAACAATGCTACAGAGATGGCTTCAACAGCGGTTCTCCACCCACCCTCGTTGAGCTTCCCTGATGTCTAGCTTCAAGCTTTACAGAACTTGTGCTGTTCCTTCTCCAACAACACTCCTTCCTCCATCCCCCTATCAAGTTTCCCCTTAACACTCAAAGCTCACCCCCATTATTCTTCTCCATCCCCAGGGATAAACTCCTCAGAGTCGGAAGCAATGGTCCTCTCCCCCAAATATTATGAACACTTCAGGAAAAATAAACCAAATGCCCCTTCCCCACTCATTCAGTTCTTGCCCACAGCTGCTGGCTTAGTCTTTCTACCATCCTATGCCAGTGATGTTGCCATCCCGGCCAGTGGACAAACCCACTTTATGCTGTTTTCAACAGTCTCTTCCGTTCATCCACGCATCCACCACCAAGCCCCGCTCGTCCTCAGGTCCTCCCCATCCTTCCCAGCTCCCAGCAGCAGAGAGCTAACCTAGAGAACATCTCCAGGTTTCCTCACCTGACCCAGCCCACACTGAGCCTGGCCCCTCCTAAGTCTCTCTGCTTTCACCATGGTTACCAACTCTTGCTTCACCTAAGATCTAAGTGAGCAGTCAGGAAGTAAGGTAATAAAAGGCAGAGTGAACTCCTTCCAGAAAAGGGCTTGACCTCAGCCAGGGGCTCCCATTTGAGTTAATAAAGACACACATCCCGATGCTTATCTCTATAAGGACGCACACACAAGGAATTAACAAAATGCATGACAAGTGCAAAAGTGACACCTTTATCAGTAAAGACAATAAAGGAAAAGAAATCTGTTTCCCTGGGTAGCAAGCTAATGAGTGGTTGCTGTGGCCAGAATGGGATAGAGGCAGGTAGGGGTATACATAGGAAATCCTTGAACCTGCAACTGTCTATCATACTGGCCCCTGATAGGATCGGTATTGTGTTTGGTCCAGGCAGGGTAGCAGCCAGGCTGACCTCACCGTTGCTTCAAATCTCCCTGTGGTGTTCCCTGAACTTTAAAACACAGAATCTTTCATCTGCTCATCAACAGTCTTTCCGGCTGTTCCAATTCCTCTGGGACCCAGTTCTTCCCAGCCTCGGGACCTTAGCAGAGCCCGGTTTATCTTCTAGAATTCAATCTCTTTACAGGCACCATTTTGGCTAATTCATCTCAGTTTAAACACACTTCTTTGGAGACACCTTGTTGACCCTCCAGTCCACACCTGGCCAGCCCACCACCTGAATTCTCCCTACAGTTCTTCCAAGTCACACATTCATGACCACTGACCATCAGGCTCCTGGAGTGCAGGAACCCATCCATGCCTTACCATCTCCCCAGCTGCTGGCAAGCAAGAGGCACCTAATTAAATAATTGCTAAATATGAATGAATGAAAATGTCCTGAGAGGTGCCTATCTCAGGACATGGAGGCACGCCTTCACCACAGAAGAATGTTTGCAGAGTAGATAAAATGGAGATTTTGGAACTATCCCTAGACCAGCACCACTGTTTCAGCTAGTATTCAAGAGCATCCTGCTCCAGTCTGGGCTGGAGTACATACGCCAAACCACATGACCTGGAAAACATTGCCAAGATAGTATCTTACAGTGTGCAATGACCTTCCCCTACCACTCGAACTAAAATAAGGTGAAAGTCAGTGACCTCAAGGAGAATCTCCCCTAAAGTCACATTGACTCATAAAATACATAACTCCTACTTGAAAGAAAGACAGTGCTCACGGTAAAAAGTCATATAAGGCAAATAACAGGTTATGATAATGAGCGTGGTAAATGTAAGCCAACCTTTATGAAAAGGAAGTTATAAAAACATCAACAGCTCTACCCAGAGCGATTAATTAAAGGGGCTCTGTTTGGGAAGGTAGAAAGTTTCTGCATAGGGGTTCAGAGAGTAGCCTATGTGGGTTCACTTGGAGGCTCTCAGGTTCAGAAGGATGGTACAGAGGGGTGTGACAAAGCCTGTAAGACCCTTTGCTGAACTTGCACCTGTAAATCATAAAACAATATCTAAGTCTGTGACATGAGGTTCTGCATGGCACAGGCACCTGTGACAAATCAATGACCCTCTTCCAGCAACAGAACTCTTCAAAATGTATAGCTATGGGCCACTGTTCACCAGAAGAGAAATGCTAAGCCTCATGTTACTTGGCTGCCAGAGTTCAACTCACGTTCCCAGACTAACTGCGATTGATTGAGTCATTAGTTACCTCTGGAACATCCCAGATGGCTGGATACAGATTGCTGAAGAGCTGTGAATAGTTACTGTATCTATGATGGATATTTCTTTTCAAGCAAACACTTGTCCCCTAGTAGATTTTGAAACTTCAGAAACAGATCTTATGCACACCATATATTCCAACATTCCAGGTCCAGTGCTCTAAGTGGGACTGGGCTGGGGGTGGAGGATGGGTAGAGACAGAACAGCAGAGAATGTAGGCAGCTTTTCTTCTGACTCAGCTATCAGAAACAGAGTCCAGCCATAGCCACTGAATCTTGTCCTCCTTATGGAAAGCCTCAGAACAATCATGCCTGTGTACAGCAGGGACTCTGGGAGCAGTCACTTCACTCCACAGAAATGATGGCAGTTCTACTCTGACATCAAGTGTGCTTGCTTACTGTGTGTTAAGACTGCAGTCACAGCCAGGCATTGGTGGCACACGCCTTTAATCCCAGCACTCAGGAGACAGAGTCAGCCGGATCTCTGTGAGTTCAAGACCAGCCTGGTTTACAAGAGCTAGTTCCAGGACCTCCAAAACCACAGAGAAACCCTTTCTGGGGGGGGGGGAACTGAAGTCACTTGTATAAAATATTTCAATCCTCAGAACAAGGACAAAGTTAAGGAAACTAATTACTAAGGTCTCTCTCTCTCTCTCTCTCTCTCTCTCTCTCTCTCTCTCTCCCTCTCTCTCTCTCTCTCTCTCTCTCTCACACACACACACACACACACACACACACGTGTGTGTGTGTGTGTGTGTGTGTGTGTGTGTGTGTGTGTAAGTGCCCGGGTAGGGGCTTGAACTTCAGGAGACTGGTTTCAGAGAGCCAAGGAAAACTGAAAGCTATGTAGCAATTACCAGAATTGTTTGCTTACTTAGAGAAGAAAACAATAGCGAATTGTTCCAAACCACATCTAACCTCACAAAGAATCCTGCAGTTCAACTCCTACTCATAGGCTGAGTTGAGGGGAGTTGGAGTGGGGGGGGGTGTACAGGACAGGACTTTAAGGAGAATGGAAATTAATCTCAAGCAGCCTCCATCCAGGTGAGACCCTCTGATTATTAACAAGTGCAATCCGGGGCCAACCAACCCAAACTACAGCAGTGGCAAAGCATGGTGTGACTTTAGGTAATAGATACATCAGGGGGATAAACAAGAGAGTATTTGCTACATTCAACACATTAATTCTTCAACAGAGGGTGTCATGGAATTGTTGCTCAGTAAGGAAACTTCAATTTCCTGTACGGTTCCTTCCTGTTGCTCAATAAATAAGACAATAAAAATGAGAGTTGGCAAGCAGTCTCAAAAATATGACACTCTCACAATTCTCCCACTCTACTTACAAATTAAGTTACCACCAAGTCACACTGTCAGCACTGCAACCCCGCAGATTTCACACTGGGTGTTTTGGCTAATCATTCTGGGAGTTGCCAACCTTTGGAAATGCTAAATGCTCTTGGATATTTCTTTGAAATGCAGAATAAAACAGTTTCCTCCCACACATCAAAGCCCCTACTATATCACACTGATTTAATTCAATTCTAAAAACTCTAATTAGTGGTTACATAAAATGGCTAATTATGCCTCCCTGGGTTCAGGCAGTTTCTGCCATCTCACTTACAGAGCCTAGGAGCTGTGTAATCAACACACCCACTGGAAGGAGAAGGCTAATTAGCATTGTTGATTGGTGACACAACTTATAATATTTTTTCAGCAAACCCTGTAAAATGTATAAACATGTCAGCTTACTAGCTTTTGGAATTAGCCTGTAAGAACGCATGCATCCTGACCATAGTCCCCTCAAAAGAGTTTTACGCACGCGCCAACCACATAATCATCATGATAAATAGCCCTGGCACCTCCCCATGAGCTTCAGAAGGAGCTCACCTTCCCAGTATGGGCATCATACCCGGTTTGGAGAAGTGAAAACTGAGATTGCCGGGCTCCAAGTCTCCCCTGCTCATCACCTAGCCGCCAGGCTGCGTCTCCACCCCACTCCTGCTTCCACCACCGACGCTTTTAAATTTTTATAAAGCTTCACACTTCTCTGGGCGCGTTGTTGGGGGCAGTTCAATGGCTGCGGGATAAAATGAGGTCCTACCGGTGTTGCCCGGGCGCTGCGAGCTTCCCCGGGACAGGGACTCCTCCTCCGGCTGGGACTGGCTGCATGCCTCCGCTCCGCCCCGGCGCTTTTGAAAGTAAACTCCTACCTGCCTGTTGCGCTCCGCGAAGCGCAGCGGGCCGCGCCCCCCAGGCCTCCCCGGCTGCGGTTTTGTAAATGAAATGTGAAACGCAA